GGTATACTATGTTACATTTCTGCATGAAAATGTCTAGGTTACCAGAATCAGCTAATTATCAAAAATTTCTCTACCTTATTTTTGTCGCGGCTTCCTTTTTTTTTTTTTTTTTTGCTAGACCAAAGGCTTTCTGTTACATAACTGTCACTAAAGGTCTGAGACATTTTTCTACAATGAAAATGATTCCACTTGCAAAGCTGCATCTGCAAATAACATTTGTGCTTGTGTATTGTTTGTCATCTGGCTCTATTTTCCAACATAATAACAAGTGGCAGGAAGGCTGTGTTGAAGCCAGGTCTTACAGTCTCAGAGGCACGTAGCACGTAAAATAGAGCTACTTCATTGAATAAATGAGGTGGTAGTGTCTTTGACCATCGACTGCCTTCATATGGTTAAAATTTCAGCTCCACTCTTAAAAGAGTAATGAATCCTTTGATACTGTTCCTTCAGACAGAAAAATGTAGAATTATTAACCTTCATGAATAAATATATTCTTTAATGTCTGAACCTCAAGATGCCAAATAATATGAAGTTAATTGGGGAAGCTGTTGAAGGTTGAGTTCATAATGAGCAACTGTGTGGTGGACTATATGTTTACTGAAGCTTGAAATGGACACAATACTCCACCAAACTGTTTAAGGTGCAACCAAGTTGATGACTTCTTTTATCTGTCTGAGTCACATGTGGGGGGTTGGGGTGGGGCGGTCTTTTAAAGCAAGATCAAAATGAAACCAGAGTTCATTATTAGTCAATCTGCACACTCTTCACTAAATCTAAATCTCGGGTAAAGCTGTATGAATGTGATGGATGAAATAGCTTTCCTATTAAAAGATCCTTACTTAATGGTTTTTGGATTAGAAATTGATCAAATGACTGTGAAAGGAGTTTTTGATAGAGATGAACACAGGGAAATATCAACCAGCTTTGCAGTTCCCCTTCCCATTTATTTTAGCCACGTGTCTGGTATTTTGTGCCTGCATCTGACTCTCAAACCCTTAATTCAGACTTTTGTATTAATTCAGCCAAAGCAGGCTGCTTACAAAAAAACAACGCTGAGAAATCCAATGTACACAACCTGCCCAGCACCAAACAGGAGACAGATGAAAACCTTCTACCTGGTGAATGGATTGGAGCATTAACTCTGTTAATGGCAGGTATTTCCCTCAGGAGTCAGATGTCTTCAGAAAACATAGCTAACAGGGCGAAGGTATAGCCTTGTGGTTTGTGCGTGCGCCCCATGTATGGAGGCTGTGTCGTCCGGGCAGGTGACCCGGTTTCATGTCCGACCTGTGGCTCCTTTCCCGCATGTCTCTCCCCACTCTCTCTATCCCTGATTTCTGACTCTGTCCACTGTCCTGTCTCCAAAAAAAGGCACAGAAAACAGGGCTAACAGGATAGTGACTTCATTTTTCACTTCACATGAAAGTAACTTGTTTTCTACTGGATGCTTTTTTAGGCAAAAATAATATTGGATTCAAGCAAACAAGAATACAAACAAGTTTTTCATGTGTTTTTGCTCCACCAAGTGGCCGAAAATGTATTTATTGCAGGTTAACGCTAAATATATCTGCATTCAATTGCATTTGAGGCAGGTTTAGAATTTGAGATTTGTTGAATGTACAAAAACTCTGAACAACAGGCTCCATGCTAAGATTTAACAATCAACTGAGTGAGTAGGCAAAGAAAAGAAAAAATATACATTTTACATTTTATACTAAAAGATAAACTGGGGCACATTTTGGAATTATATAATAAAATGAATTTTCTTCGCGTTCCAGCAGGTTTTATACCTTTGAGTGCGGCATTATCCCTCCGACCTGCTCTGACTTTCCGTGATAAAAAGACGTTTTTCTTGTTACATATGTTAAAGCTTGAGACATCACTAGGCTTTTAAAAGGCCCTGGTGGATCAACCGTCATGTTTTGTTCTTAAGACCTTATTAGCACTGTGCTGTAGTGCGTGTGTGTGTGTGTGTGTGTGTGTGTGTGCCAGTAAATGGACAATACATGTAGAATATTATATTCTAATATCTAACTTTAAAATAATAGTACATTCACTTCGTCTGTTTTAAATGACTTCTTTCTAACTGCGTATAATATTATGAAAAATACAGTTATTCTTGTTATGAAACACTGGAAATAAAGATTTTTTTAATCATTCTAACATTTTTTATTTAGTTTGTTAAAATAGTAAAGGCAGATTACAAAAACATAAGCCTTTTGTTTGCTTTGAATTAAACCCACATTCGATGACTTTTTAATCAGTTTTCTCTCTTCGAAGACCTGTTTGAAGGCTTTCCTTATTGGTCTGTGATCTGATTCTTCTTATGCACTGTGAGATGTTATATGTGATTTACAATACAATAGATTAAAGCTCAACGTGAAGACAGTCAACCATGACAAGGTTACTAGTGTGTAATCTCTGTTTTCATAAAATATAATACAATATGCTAGGATACAATACAATACAATACAGAAGGATGTGATACAATTCGATACGATGTGACACAATACTATATGACGTGATGCGATACGATACAATACAATACGGAAGAATACGATTACGATCATTTCTGCCTTGGTTGTAACCCGAGCAGTGCCACACAACCAATCAAACAAATGCTTGTTCAAGTTGTAACCCTCCAAATGACCTTAACAGGGACCAGAAGGGAACAAACCCTCTGTGTAAGGTAACTTCACTGCAACAGCCACTACTCTGAAAATCAGACACATACACATGACACAATAGAAAGGGACAACATCAACAGAAAAAAGCTCTGAAGCCACAACTTAAACAGATATGGCCATTTTTTACCAAGATATGTTAATGTGCAATGTGTGGATGTGCATATTTTCAAAAGCTGTGCAAGAAAATCAACCTGAGTGCTAATTTGCATTAAGCATATGAATTTCACTGGGATAAACAAGACCTGGAGTCTTTATTCTTGACAGGGTTTTGTTGGTGGTGTATGCATGGGAGCAGCGAGAGTGTGTGTCAGTGTGTGTTGGTGTTCCAGCATGTAGGTATGTGTCTGTTTGTCAGCAGTGCCGCCTACAACACGCCAACACGTGGGGCTACAGTCCGCTCGACTGGATGAATTACAGCAAGCTGTGCAGTTGTAAAGAAGAGGGAAAAAAACGCAAGTGTATTCGTCAGCGCACCACTGTGCCCGTCCAGGAACACTGAGTCAGATAAGTGGCTGCTCTCACACTGTACAGAGTGTACGGGAGGTCAGAGAGACGTAAGAAGTGGCAAGCCGACACAGTGGAATGAAAATGTGTTGAGTTAACGCTCCACATTCAGCTCCCAGGCAGGATTTCATGCCTGCTGTGGGAGAGGGCTCTTACCATTGACTGATCAGTGAGTCACTCCACTGTGATACACACAGCATCTGTTAGAGTGAATTTAATGCAGCTTGGATTTGTGCTGTGTGAATTATGAGTTCTCATAACCTTGATGCAATATTACTGTCTGCTCATGGTGAGCTTTGAGAATGAGTAGGCAAGTGATAAAAAAGATGATTATGTTGCCTTAAATCACTTCGGTGTCCCTCATTTAGTCTGCATGGTGCTTGTGTTTCTACACTTTTGTTTGGACTGCCATGTTTACATCTGAAGCAGAGTTGTATCGGAAACTCTTAAGATATATAATGACTAGTATGTCATATTAGATTTAGCTTCACCCCAGGAAGAGCAGTAAACATGACGACATCAGAGCTGCAGCCCTGTTTGCTCTTCAGTGATCTGTTTTCAAATCGTATTGAAAGCAAGGAGCTTTTCCACAGAATAAAATGAAATCATAAAACAGCCTTTAAATAATAACAGGACAACTAGGTGAAATGTTACCAGATTGAATTTATCCCAGCGAGAAAAAAAACAAAAAAAAACTCGTATAAATGACAATGAAATTCATCAGTGAAATATTTTCCCGTTGCCCCAGAATTCTTCATTTCTTCCTGAGCATTAAGGAAGACTTATTGTTCCCGCTTTAAGTGGATTCCAGAGGATGGCAAAGTACCAAAGAAGATTTGTGAGGAAATGAGGTTTCATTTCTTTTGGAAAAAAATAGTGCTCCTTAAATATAAAGCTCATTTACATGTATGAGCACAATATTTCTCTCTCTCTCCTATGCATTGTCAGCAGAGTAACTGCAGGCCGTACGTCACTGTGGAGCTTTTAGACGGGGGCCCCTGGCTATCTTGTTTCCTGCCATGCTGAAGCTGTTCATGCAGTAAACTTGAATAGGCTGTCCTTTTCGATTAGAATAATATGTGATTGTGTCTCTTTGTCTTAAGGGTTGTTTTACCCTCATTGTTCTTGTTTGTTAAGTGGCAGCATGATGGAAAGTAAACTGAAAGCCTGTTAGCAGACGTATTGTTCAATGTTTAAGAATTAAAGACTTCTTTTTTTAATTTTTCAAACTATTTACATTTATTTGGACATGTATTTATAACACAAGTTCATCCGACTACTCTCCTTGTTTTCCTACCACTGACGCTGCTGCTGCTCCACCTGGTGGTCTTTTGTGTTCAACTAACAATGGAGCACAATGGCTCTGCTCTTCAATTAACTGGCTGTGTTATGTTGCAGCAGAGACAGTCAATTAAGGTCTTCTTTAGTGCAGTAACTGTTCTGGAAAGTCAAGGACACACTGAGAGATTCACTCCTAAATGAGCTCTTACTCTAATGTTTCATGAGCTGTAAGTATTGATGTGTAGAACTTTCCCCTCGGAGTATGTATATTGTTCTTAAGTGACCGTTTTACAGTTATGCACTGTTATGTAGAACCCCTATAAAGGGACAACACTTTTATAGAACATACCTGAGAGAATGTGCAATTAAATTGGAATTACAATCGTGGTAAATCGAGTAGTAGCACAAATGTGTTGTTACAGTTTAGACCTTTTATGTTGATTAAGTTCCACACGGCTAAAAGAAGGCATTACAATAAAAGCAGCATTCAGAGACTTAGTCATTCATTTCTGTTTCTCCATATTGCAGGATGAGCCCTTCAGGTCAGTAGACCCATTCTGATTGGAGACATGTTCTAAAGACGTCACCTCAGCCGCCATGAAAGGGTTAGGAGCCAACCGCAGCCGTCACCTGTCCGACTCATGTGAACCACCAGGCTGCACCCAGAAACCTCTCTATCCCCTGACTTCTGACCCGCACAGCTCCTTTTTGCTGAGCCCCACCATCAACCACTATGGCACTCTGGACCCCCATCTCCATCAGTGCCCTCCAACAAGCCCCACAGCCTTGACCCCTGACTGCCTGCTCCCTTTCAGTCAGATCTCAAACAGCAGCACCTTTCCTCGGCTACACTATACCTCACAAGCTGAGCAGGTGGACTGCTCGCAGGCATGTATGGCGGGTGGTGGCGGAGTGGGACCGGGCGGCAGAGCGGGCGCACTATCCACCTCTTTGTCTATGGGTATGGGGTTGGGTTTGGGCCTCACTGGAGCTCCGATGATCACCAGCGGCTCAGCCACCATCTCCTCTGCAGCGGCTGCCAAGATGAACCGGCTACCCACGAACCTTCTGGATCAGCTGGAGAGGCACCTCCCCCTGCAGCGAGATGGTTTCAGCACCCTGCAGTTTCACAGAGGGCGCATGTCGAAACAACGCAGTGAGAGTCCGGGACGCATTCGCCACCTGATGCACTCTGTTCAGAAACTATTTGCAAAGTCGCAGTCTTTGGAAAACTCTGCAATCAAAGGCAGCTTAAACGGGCGCTCTGTTGGGGGATCGACAACAGGAGCAGGTGAGGACGGAGGCAGACCGACACGCAGGAGCAAGAGTAAAGATAGGGCTAAAACCGAGGGGCAAAAGCAGAGACCCAGGCCCAATGCACTAGGCCTCTGGGGCTCAGACGACGCCTTGGACACTGACACCACCAAAGCTGGCACTATTGCTGTAGGTTACCGCAACCCGCTGACCATGATGACTCTGGGCAGAGCGGTGTCAGACAGCCAGGCCAGACACATCCCACAGGGCTACCACACCATTTCTGCACACACTCTAAAGACCTCGAAAAGCAGCAGTGACCTCAAGTTTCTGGCGTGCCAGGCCACGCAGGTAGGATGCAAGGGCGAAGAGGGACGAAGCAGAGGGAGCAAGGATGACACGCTGGTGAAAAGGGGCTCCTGGTCAACTCTTACCCTCACCCAGGCCAGGCAAGTGTTGCAGAAGGGCTCTGCTACGGTCAACAGGACGCTGCTTAAATCAAAGTCATGCCACCAAGATTTGGCACAACAGTTTCTACAGGTAGGAGGGACAGTGAGTATTCATTTTCATCATCATTCTTTGTAAGTTTGCATGTTTTTTCGTTTAACTTCTCTTTAGACTTCTTTATTTAATTGATCACTTTTTTTAACACTAGAACACAGTTTACGCTTTAACGCATAATCCCTATTTGTTTAATCACTTATAGTTTACTCCTTATCCTTTATACTATTTGTATAAAGTCACATTTGTATTTTTTTTTCCTGAAGTTACAATTTATCATAAAATCAATCATTATATTTTTGAAGTACCATCAATGCACATGGATTCCTAATGTGTAGATATATTTTAAAATGTGAAGCAAATTATACATTAACAACACAATGCATGCAATGTCTATGGGGATACACATCAGCATTTCAAAAGTCTCATAAAGGTGTGTATGTGACATAAACCAGGTCCCGGGGGAATGGACAGGAACTCTGGGTCGAGGCCGGGCCAGAGGAACAGAGATCCCCTGTCGAAGGATGCGCAGCGGCAGCTATGTGAAAGCTATGGGAGACTTAGAAGACAGCGAGGACTCAGAGGGAAGCCCCAAACCTTCCCCTAAGTCTGCTGCCCGTCGCCATAGCTACCTGAAAGCCACCCAGCACTCCCTGAGCGAGCAGCAGCCACCTCCACCTCCTCGCAAGTGAGTCCCACAGAGAATTCAAATTCCTCATATCGGAATTTTAACCTCAATTACCATGCTCATTGTTTTGCCATAGTGGTGTTTGTGCCCTTTTACTTTACATTCATTGAAACAGGAACCGGCTCTGAAGGATGAATTGTAGTTAAAACTGTGTGGATGAACTTTTTTGTCTGCTGTCACCAGAGGTCGTCAGCAGGTGGCAGCATTTAGTCACGTATCATGCTCTGGAGTTGCAGCAGTGCTTATTTAAAACAGGTTCATAGAAGCTAGTCATCCATCTAGAGATTTAGATTAGTGAAATGAGGGGAATGACTTACAGTATCATTTTTTTTTTTAAGTGTAAGAGCAGTAGCAGATGAAATTTTGCCATTTTTTTTTTTTACCCCTACATCCACACGTGAAGGCCCCGTTGCTACGCTCTCATGCGGGAGGATTATCTGTGGTCTCCGCTGCAGAGTGCATGCTCTATGCAGCATCTGAGGTCAGTGTCATCCTCAGGCAGGCAGTGTGGCCCTCCACCCACCCTCACTTCCCCCACCTCCACTTCCCAACCACTTATTTTTGCCTAACCCCACTCCCACTACTGCTCCTCTCTTCCCTGACCTTGCTCCATCTCTTACCCCGAGTGGTGTGTTACTACTGTTACCTGCTTCCTCCAAGCCTTGATGTCATAACATGCAAATTTCCCCATGACAAATCCCTCTACCACACCCTAGCTGCTTAGTGTGCACACCCTTTCACTAACACCAGGCACAATAAGAGGCTTCCCAGAACAGAGGAAACTTAAAAAGAAGAAAAAAAACCTTCATCAATGTTTGAAAGCATATATAGCCGTTTTACTCATCATTGTTTCCTCTCTGCTGGTATTTCAAGTAGTATCCCCTCATATCACTTTTCACACATCTCAACCATATTTAATTTCAAAACACCCAGGGGAATTCATCGGAGTGTAATTAAATATTACTCCTGGATATCATCAATTAAACACAGCTCTTACTTATTCGGCTGTCTGACTTCTAAGAGGATGATTATCACGCTCACTTCCACAGCTCCCTGCCGTCCCTAAAAGAGCTGTCAACTAACCGGAGCCTCGATAACTTAGACTGTCTGGTGAGCCCGCTGGAGGCCCCGCCGCGCCACAGGAACAACAATTACAGCCAACGCTCTAGCACACTGGGCAGAGGCTCGGGCACTCAGGTATGTCTAATATCTTATCAAATATGTTGATATCACATTTCAGATCTCTGAAAAAAAAAAGTGCTTTTTACACTATATTGGTCTGATTCCAGTGGCACAAAAAGGATAAATGTAATCAAAGCCAAAACTTGCCAGAGAATGAACATAGTTACATCAAACACAGCTCTTGAGATTTGAAGCTAAAAGGGGGATATAAGGGTGTATGTAGTGTCTGCTGGGATGGTGTATAAATAAGCTAGCTGGGAATTAAAGAGATGTTTGAGTGTGTAAACCTGAGGGAGCTTGGCGCATATCTTCATCAGCAGGATGGCATCAGGACGCAGAATCACACACTAGACTAATGCAAACATCCTTCAATAAAGAAGCACTGGCATCAGTCTCTCACACGAGAGCTTTTATATTTATCAAGTGACGATTGAGGGATTTTCTTTCATGTCGACAGTGAAGTCAATCAGAGTAAAGAATATGTGAAGGATAAACTAGAACAGCTGATTTCTGGGGAATATTATTCATGCTAATGTACCACCCACAATATGTTCACATTTTCTACTTGTCCTGGTTGTTTCTGCTTTTCTTTTGATGTTGCTTGATCAGACAGCGCTAGATGTCATCACATATTACCATCATAACAATAATGAAACAAAGTTATTTATAGTATTTCTTACAATGCTGCAGTAAGAATCAGATAACTGAGTCATTTATGTGCTTTTGGGAACATGAGCATACTGATTGAGATTATATTTTTGCAAATCATTAAATAAACATAATAGAAAATCTAAAGTGACCTGTTACTTGAAGAGACGGTGCTGGACTTTAACCTTGCACATTTACTCAGGTTAAGCACAGGAACTTTAAACAATGATTTGCTATTTTACAAGATCTTAAATGACTATATTGTGCATGCACATCTATACATTTTTCTAATGGCCCAAGATCCCATTTTAGTAATACTCAACATGAAATACTAAGAATAAAGGTCTAAAATATAATGCATTGCTAATGTTATTTAGAATATTTTCATTTGGATAAATATGTCAGGCCTTGGGCTCCAAACCTCTCTGACCAACCAAGGAGCAGCATCATTTTCCTCTGTCCTGTTTGAGATGTTGAGTTCTTCCAATTCCAGAAAAGAGACCATAAATTCTAATGTAATGTATCTGTTTTAGGCCCAGATTAGGCAAATTATCACCTAATTTTTACATTGTAAACATATAGAAGAGGGATTATTTTATTAAAACTTTTTTTTATAAGATGATCCTGCAGAACCATTGATTTCTGTTCTTTCTTATCCCATTAAGGCGGTCATAAATCCTAAAGCTCAGTTATTCAACGTGTAAAAAAAATAGCTTCCTTTCAAGAATCTTTTGAAATGCTGCTCACACATTTGTGCATCACTTCTAACAAGCTAAATGTTTAATAAGACACATCAGTCACAGGTGACATATACTATGGAATCACTTATTTTACTTCTGATACTGACTTTGCTGATCTCTTGTATTCTATGTATTGTTATATAGACGCTTAAATAAAATAGAGTATCTCCATTACGTTCAAAGCAAGTAAGTGCATGTTTCACAGTCTGCCCTCTGCCCTCAGCGTGTGAGTCTGCACACGTTTTTTCAGGTATGCGGGCAGGGCTTCGGGCACGCAGTACCGTACTGTGAGGGGGAATCGCAGGCAGTCGAGGCTCTGGATCTACCAGCACCTACTTGCTTCCGGTCACGCAGCCACAGCTACCTGCGGGCCATCCAAGCAGGCTGCTCCCAGGATGAAGACACGGCTTCTGTGGACTCAGACTCGCCACCCCCAACCACTACAGGATACAGCTCCAAAACACGTGAGTACCAGAGTGGACAAAGAGATGCTGACTATAGTCTTTGTTAAGAAAAAAAATCAGCTGATGGATGAAATACATGCTATTAAATGGTAATCACACATCCATTTACCTTAGTAGGAAATCAATATGCCCCCCCCCCAAAAAAAAGAAAAATGTAAGGACTTGTATGAACCACAATTTTAAGAATATTTTCTCATGAAGTAAATGTATAGACAATTTAACATTGTATTGTTGTTGTTTTTTTCCACTATTGGTTTAATTATGTCCCCAAAATAATCAAATATATGTGAGAAGGCGGTTTAGAAAAAATGTTGCACATACTTTTATATTAACTGTCACATTTCAGTCCGAAAAAGGTCTTTTGGTTTCTTTAGCTCTGGCTTCATCAGTGACAGACCTTGACAGATTATTCATACACCAACCGGGACGCAGAGGTGGGCAACGCCAACCCTCCTCTGAAAAGATGAGTCAATGACAGCAGGAGAAAAGGAAGAACTTTTCCAGTTTATCAAAGCTATTATGAACAGTAGAAATTCAAGGTTTTGAATGAATGTCAGCGCTACAACGTAAAATAAAAATGAATCGCATATTTATTGTTTGGGGTTTTGAAGACATTCCTGATGACTTACCACATTTTTCTTTTTTTTTAGCACAATGTCCAAGTACAGGGAAAAGTGAAATCAGGAGTAAATGGCTCTTCAGACATGTAATGAGTAGTTGAATTGCATTTGAATTGTTTTTTTTGTAAAAATCCATTGTGGATGCGTTGGATATGTGAAGTTAACGCATTTCTTTATTATGAAAAACAAAGAAAAAAATGTTATTCTTCCTTTGCAGTAATTTCCCAGTGTCAATAATTTTTTAAGTGTGAAAACAAATCTTGCAGGATTATTAATTCAGTTTACCTACTTTGATTACACTTGATCATATTAACGCAAAGATGAAGATAAAGTAAAACGTTTTGGGACAGTCAGTTTTATGTATTTTTTTTTTACACTCTGTATGCGAAGCTTGACTCTAAGTTATTTGTAAGGCCTTAATCGATGTACTATTTATCCTGCATGCAGCCAAATGGTTTAGTAGATAGCCTAACTGTGATATATATTGCTTCAAATGTCTGAATGCAGTTTTCTGTTACAATGTATTGTTGCCAAATGTTATTTTCTGCTGAACCTATTTGAGATAACAATGAGCAGAGGGCTGCATGAACTGCTTCCTTGAAAAGCTACAGCAGTGAATATAATGCAGTTTGATGCCCTGCCTGCTGCCTACACACAAAAAAAAAAAAAAACCGGGGGAGGAGCTGGGTTTATCTCTATTTATATGGAGCTCTATTGTTCAGGTCACAATGGATCGAATATGTATGAGCTTTTTTACTCTGGGTCTGTTTCCCGCGGCGTCAGACAACAAATGAAACGCACCTATCAACGGATGCAGCCTTCAACCAATCGTCTTTGTGTTCGATTAGCTCGCGGAGCAGAAAGCGTCCAATCGTCGGCCGAGAACGAAAAAAAACGTGGACTCCAATCCTCGTCGTCAAGGGCGTGTACTACAAAAAATCTTTTCTTCACAGCTCCGCTTTCTGTGCGAGTGTGTGTGTATGTGTGTATCTCTCACGGCTGGATTCCGTCGCTCGTCTGGCTTCTCATGAATGACCGACTAATAAGGATTTTCGAGCGGACCTTTTACACAGTAAGGATTGTTGTTGTTGTTGTTTTTTTTTCCTGTGTACGCGCGAATTTCTCTCCCTGACAAATGTATTGTCGATACACCCAGCAGTGGGCAAGCTAACAAGAGCTAATGGTGTGTTAGGTAAGCTAGCGCAGGCTAACAGTGGAAGAAAGGGGATGAAACCCTGATGCGGAGCAGGCGAGGCTGAAGACAGTATTGTGGTTGCTGTGGTGATACGGAGGTGAAAAGCGACAGGTAGCAGCGTGTGTTTGTTGGCTCCCTCTTATCTCTACTTCTTTTTCTTTCTTTTTTTTTTTTTTACTGCCTCCGGCTAACGTTTCTCGACGTTAAATTCCCGGTGTGATCTCACGCCGTAACGAGCCCTTACTAGCCACGAGCTAACTGTAGCTTAGGCGGAAAAAGCCGAGTGTGTGTGGACCGCAGCTCGGTTTACCGGCGACTTCGTCTTTTAACCAACCCGGCCACGTCTGTCTCATCAGAAAGCTCACGTTGCCTAATTTAACGTGTAATAGTAAGCATATTAAATGCCAAATAGTCGGAAATGGAGTCGTTTACGTCGTTTCATTGAGGGGGAAACAGGAGTCTACGTCTTTGTGAAGTCACATCATTTGGATTAACATGCAAATAAAGTTAAGGAAGGTTAACAGCCAACATGTGACAGCACATTTGCACATTTAATCTTCCATATTTAAATTACTACCATTCATGAATCTGTTTTTGCACATTTACATTTAATCTTACATATTTATTCTTCCTATTTAAGACTAGTAATGCTTAGTTCAGGGATGGGCAACTTTGGTCACGGCAAGGGCCACATTCAATTAATTCTCCCCTGCCAAAGGGCCAAATTGTAGTATACAAAAACGATCAATTATGAATCAATTATAAAAATAAAAATAAAACATGTCTAAAATTTAACTCAACATATGCCAGTGATCAAAAATTATTATGGACGTATTTCTGGTTTTCATGATTTCCAGAGGGCCACATTGAGGGTTGATGGGGGCCGCATGTGGCCCCCGGGCCACCAGTTGCCCACCCCTGGCTTAGTTAAATCCTGGTTGTATATATTAACATTCTTAGTTTTGATATTTATAGTACTTATTTACTTTGTATTTAATATTATAAAATGTTAAGATTTTTTTTATTTATTTTATTTTTTTTTTTTTATACTCATTGTGTGTTTGAATAACCTGCTGCTGTAACGCCACAATTTCCCAGTTTGGGATCAATAAAGTAATTATATTCTATTCTAATGCGAGCTAAAATACAGAGATGATGGTATCAATCATGATCGGCTTTATTAATCAGCCAATTAAAAAAGACAAAAAAATGGCATTCCTTGTCTTCCCTGCTGCTAATTGTGAATGATGGCCTTACAGGGCAGAATCTTAGGTTGAACATTTTTATAGCGGTTCAGTACTTTTTTATAATTAATGCTAGATTATACTAATAACGTTGTTTTGGTTTAACTTAGAGTGGCTGGAGTAGTTCTGTTGAACATTTCGCTGGTACTGCCCATCCTCTTTTGGGCCACAATTTTATTTGCCATTTTTACTCAGTGGCAAACAGCCATGTGTTAAGAGACCTGAGCACACAATCAATTATTTATTTGCTTCCTTCCTTGTGTAATGCTTTGCAGCCCAGTAGTAAGTACACTTAACTTGGCTTTAAATGGACCACCTGAGGAGAAGAGGATGTGCATCTAAAAGGAATGTTATATCTATGTCCAACAATAACAATCACAGTAACCAAAATAATGTATTCTCACAGACTGCATTTTAACAATAACTGTAAGGTACTTTTTTTAATCTTGTTTTGTGATTGAAGTTGTGTTTTTCAAGTTACCAAAAAGACTGCTCATCAGGGCAACCATGTATCAATGGAAACACTGGGTTTGAGGCTTCATTATAATTAAAAGGTGTGTTCATTGTATCCAGCGCCATATTACACAACACATGGTGTGTCTGTATCACCATGGATAGACAATGAGTCATCTTTCACTGTATTACACACTCTTCCTCTCGCCCTCATTGATGAGGTAATCTCTTTGCTGAATGGGCGAAGCAACTGTAGTTTCAAAGTACGGTCAACAGCAGACAGACATTGGCCTAATGATCTGTGTGGAGCTGTCAATATGGTTACAAAGTATACTGAAGGGTCTATGCATTCATGATAATGCCATGCACTGTCAGTGGACTACTTTAGTCCAACCCATAAAGGTTGTGGCGACTTGCTGGCTACTGAAACTGTACACTTACTGTTGTGAGTTTATTACATTTTGATACACTATTTGTTGAGACTAGACTGTTGTTTGAGATAGAAAGACGATTCCAATGTGTTACAAAATAGTATAAACTTTTGGTAAAAGTTGTTGAGTTACAGTAATTACTTAGTTTCACATCCTAAAGGGTTGACCTAAGAGGCACTTACCACGTGTTGTTACATCATCTGATTAGGCGGTTACCCAAACTGTTGCTCCAGTCCACCAGGTCAGTTGGAGAACCACAGGAGGCCGTAAGGATATTCCCTTTTACAGGAGATAAGAATGCTCAAACCAACTCTCCAGCAGTATAAAGGGTGGACTAAATCATTGGGACTTTGTCTCAGTTGCAATGGCTCTTCTCAAGGCAAGCTGGTCTTTTGTTTGTGGATCATTTTAGATGACATCTACTTTCGAGGGAAAAAGTTATATCAGTGACTTACAAAATGTTAAATGGGCTAAATGTTAATTAAATCTAAACTGTGACTTTTTTTGTTTTGGGTGTTGTCATTCTTAAGCCAGTATGTGGGTTTTTTTTTCTGAAAAATGGCAGCCTGCCTGTCTTTCTTTGTCTCTAGGTAGCACTCTCTTTTCATGAAGTCTGTGCACCCTGTTTCCCTTTGAGCCTGTTTCCTTATATTCATGAAGCTATTTTGGGAAAACGGCACAGATTTCATGCCGGATTCTTGAAACTCTGTGTCAACCTAATGAATATAAATCCAGCAAAGTGATACACAGTGTCAGGGGAATAAGAACCCAAATTGTGACAGCTATTAAAGTGAAACGTGATTCAAATTAACATAACAGGCACGTGTCATAACCTCATGTTAACAGCATAACATTTGCTTTTGTCAACTGGCTTCAACATAGGAACTGGCCTTTGAGAGGCCATTGATTGCATTATACTTCCAATGGAAAATTCCTTATATGTATATAAGTCATTTCAGTTGTTTTTGCACAAACATAGTCATCAGGTTTATAGGTAGGACATCTCTTACAGATTTAAATGGTATTTAGTTCGATGTTGCCACCTATGTAGTTAATCTGTTAGCTAGAAGTTATGCTTAGCCGCGTGTCCTGGTGTGGTCTTTCAGTCTGGGAATCTCACAGCCTGTCAGCATGCCATGCTTCCTTCCAATAAGCCTGCTAATCTCTGACAGAGCTTCTGCCACCACCTCTTTTCATGATAGTTGGCTTGTATCCAGAGTTTTGCAAAAGCTCATAAGCTGCAATAAAATACAATCCTGTTTATAAGGTGTGGTGTGTTTGTATTTAGGTTCTGTTTGAGCTTGGAGCTTCAGTCAGGAGTAATGTTGAACCACACTCCCTTCACAGAGAAGTTCACCCTGAAGCCTAATTAACACACTCAAATGTGAGTCAAAACACTCAAGGAGCTCAGCAGTGATCAAGATTTCTCAAATCCCAAACTAGACAATTTAAAAGGTTCACCCAAAATTTGACAGAAGCTGCTGCTGCTGTTTTTTTTTTTTTTTTTTAACAGTGCACTGCTTACTGTAACAGCAATGAAACACGCACACTCAAAGTTTAGCTGGAGAGCCCATTAGTGGTCATCGGATAGCTCTCAGACAGACCTGCTGATGGAGCCAGAGCATGTCCTGATTTAGAGACTGCATGGCTATCATAAGTGATGCAATTTAGGTGATCAGAGGAGTGTTGACAGCGTTGTAATTGATCCAAATTGTTTTCGTTGGGGCTTCGTGAAGAAAGGATTTATAGACAGCTGCGTATCACATAGCTTGTCAACACGACCTGTAAAACAATCGGATGTCTGAACAATCTTTTCTTCAGCTAAACTGATATGTTACCTTCTGATTTTAGGGGAGCAGATCTGCAAACAATGAATTTGTAAAATTTTACACGTTATAAAATAGAAGCTCTTTGGTATTAAAGCAACAAACCTAAGATTTAAACAAAGCTGAAATGAATCAGATGAGACAATCATGGATATAACATTGAATAATGCCTGACCAATCACGTTATCAGTAATAACAGTTTAAGTTTAGCGAAATAGTGGTGAAAAAAATATATACATACAACTGACTTCCCCAATATCCTTTGATCAAACTTTATTTTAGTGTTTTTTATGAACACTATGGTATTTAACATCCACTGTCAGGTGTAATTCCCAAGTGCAATACCTAAGTTTTGCATAAAACTATCACAAATGGTACTATACCATCTATAATAAATCATTTCAAAGCACAGTGAAAACGACAACCTTTTAAATCCCTTTTACCATCATAGCCTCTTCTGACCCATTCAGTATTCACTTTGCACAAAGTATTCTTCACATAAAAAGATACATAAACTTGTGATGAATGATGCTTCTGAATCAGTAGATTAAAGAGTTCAGCTGAAGGCTATTCGCATGCCCTGCCCCAGAAGTCCAGGATCTTGGCTGCTTAGCCTTCTCTTAATCACCTGTTGGCACTGTGCCACTACTATAGGTAGGCAATGTGGAGCCAGCTGACGCTATATGTTGCACTAAAGTGTGACTAATCCACATTTAGCCCACTTCTTTGTAACTGGATGCTCGAAAACAATATTTAACCTATTTTCTGGTGCCTAATTATCTTAATGAGCTTTAAAGGACTTGCACACATGTGGTTAAAAGGTATTATGCAAAGAGTAGATGGTTTGTTACACTAAGTTCATAATCAACTCTTATAGCTCTGTGTGTGAGGAAGAGAATGCAGTGCAGACACAACAAACAGGGCGAGGCTTGTGTTTAGACTCAAGGTGTAGCCACCCAGACTCAATAATTCACTTTGGGAATGCCATGCATCTCAGCTATGAGTAGTGCAAGAAGTGTTTCTTTGTGTGGGAATGAATGTTCTGTTGTTGGTTGGACGATTGTCACTGGCGATTGCAGTAGAGACTTAGAGTGAATTCCACAGCCATGTTTGTGTACGTTGGTGGGATTTAATGAGGGCTTTGCTGTGAGTCACTGGCCGATGACGGAAGTGCAGCACCCTCCCAATTACAGGGTGTTTGGATGGTATTTAGATTAAACCACTACCAGAGATAATAAATACTACAGCTTCGATTTACTATCTAGGAAATCTAGAATTGTTTACCTATTTAATGTATTATTATGCAGTGAATGATGTTGTAGTTGGATGTATTTGTCTGTTGTTTGTTCTCTACTGTCTCCGTTACATGGTAACTGTTGGCCAGATGTTTAAACAGCATCTACACAAAATCCCCTTCCACTCCTGAAGAAAGCCTGTGGTTTTTCCTGGTTTCTCATGTTGTAGTTCTGTGGTTAGCTGTGTTTTATCCAACACAACCCTGTAGTCAAGACTGATGACAGAGAAAGGCACCAGCCCTGTTCTTTTTGCCTGACTCAGACTGTGTTGGCCTACTGGTGATCTGCTTTCAGCTTTTCAGTCTGCCTTATGTGGGCATTGATGACTCTGCTTTTAAATGAGTGAGGATAAGTTTGTAGGAGTATAGTTATGTTTAAAAAAAACAGCTTTAAATTAGACCATATCAGTTACTTTTTCATATGTGAAGAGATTTGGCATTTAAAAAAAGAAAGGGGAAGAAAATCAAATGAAAAGTTTCATTCCTGTTTAGTTCTTAAGAAAATTAATAACAGATTGTCAGTGTCTTCAGTCCTTTTCTACCTCTGCAGGCCACATCCACTTAAGGCTTCTACCTAAAAGTCAATAATTTGAATTATCGTTCAAGAAGCCCCGTGTCAAATTTCATTTTGGCAGTCAAATTGTTGCTCTGTTTTGCAATTAACATGCAAGGCTGGTAGGTACTTCTCTACAGCCACTGAAACATTTATTTAAGTAGGTGGAACAAGAAATTCAAAACATTGAGATAATTCAGGTTTTTTAATGTTTCATAGTTTTGGAAACAAGAGACGCAAAAGGGATGTTGTATTTCCTGTGGTTCAGTTGTTCCTTCACGGCATAGTCGCCTTGTGTGACACAGTCCCCAGAGCAAAAGGACTGTGAAGGTGTGGCATGTTGAGGAAGATCCCCAGAGACAAACTGACGTCAAAGGAACACAACCAACAGCAGGTTTATAGAAAACACAGACGTAGCTTTACAAACAGACTGATGGAGGTAGCAATAAGGGCAAAGTGCAGGTTTGTTTTCCGGATAGGATGTCACTGTTTATGGTTTCATGTTTTAGCACTGATGGGCACCAGATAATATTTCTCCTAACAACGTTGGATTTGACTTCTGCTCTTTTTTTTTTTTCTTTTGACATTCAAAGTGACAATGAGCAGTTGTCTAAGCTCTTCTTTTTGCCTTCTCTCCTTCTTCCATCAGAAGTCAGCAATAGGAGAGCTCCACCTCCAGTCCAACCCCGCACCACATCTAAGCCCCTCATTTCAGTGACATTGCAGAGCAGCACAGAGTCAGCCCAAGACACATACCTTGACCAGCAGGACCGTGGCAGCGAGGCTAACAGCCAATCAGGACGCAGCAACTCCTCTGACAGTCTCTGTAGCATCCGCACGGGCAGTCTGGCTAAGGGGACCTATCCTCCACCAGTCCCGGTCCCTGTTGTGACCCACACGCCCGCTGCAGCCTCTGTACCTCCTGTTCCAGCCCCTCGTGACCTCCACCCACCACTAGCACCACTAGCACTACTTCAACATCTACCCAGTCCCAAAATGACACCCTGAGCATCGGTGTCACCCTTGAGCAGCCCCCGACTGCAACTAAGAGGAAACTGTCCTCCATCGGAATTCAGGTAAGAGCTGTCTACCTTTCATTAGTTTTCCCATGTAAATGTACTTGCACAATCTCATAGTTCTGTTTGACTGGCTTTTTTCTTGTCAATTACACTTCAGGTGGACTGCGTTTTGCCAGTCTTAAGAGAAGAACCGCTACCCCTGACCGCACCCCTCAAATTTCAGTCAATCGGTGTTCAGGTGGAAAACGGCAGGCCGTAAGTATACGCTAACATTTTACTGTATGCAAGTGAAAAGTAGCCATAATTGATCTGGTTATTTATATCTGTTACAGTGTTCAAAAGGTTCATGTGCAGACAGGATGTACTTTATATTAAACAGAAGAAATGATATCAACCCACAAATATGGTGTTGTCATCCTGTCAAGACATTTTCTGCTGGTGACTTGACATCATCAGTGGATTTTTGATATTCTCTTCTTCATACAGTGAAGCCGATTTTGTACATGTCTGCCCTCTGGTGCTTTACTGAACAGCTAAAACGTATTAACAAAGTACCTTTCTGTATAACAAATGTGCACCCTTAGGGGACCGATGTTTTTGATACATTGAGCTTTTACACTAAAAGCAGGGCTATAGGTAAAGAGCAGCCAAAATAAACAAGGTTAATGGATACATGTCACTCTTAAATGTATAAATATATCAATGTACAGTTCCCACACCCCAAGTAGTCGTCAAATTTGTGCTACAAACAATGCTTCCCTCCATTACTTCAAACATTCTCAATGTCAATCTTTTAATCACCATTTGGCGGGTATATCTGAAGTCTGTGCAGCAGAGTGTTTCTAAGGTCATCAGCACTCAGTCTGGCAGCAGCACAGCAGCCCAGGGCACTGATTGATGTCCTTTTAATCTTGTTTTGACTGTAGAGAGCTGAACATGGAGAGAAAATTGTCATTTAAACTTTTTAGTGCAATGTAATTTCCCTTAATCACATTTGTTTGACAGCCCACTTCCTTTTTTGCTGCTCATTATCTCTGAAGCCAGCAGTCCACCGGCCTTTACGTTGTATACCTAATTTGTTGCTAATTTCCCGCTGCATACCGTCTTCTATACTGTGTGTTCCGTGACTGTTGTGCTCCTTTGCAAAAGATGATACTGCATCATCAGCTGCCATAATGTCCTGTCAGTCATATGCACTGACCTCAATCTGTTACTGTGGGACATGTTTGACACGTCACTCCAATGTCAAATTTTTTTTTTTTTCAAACTGTCTGTCACAAGCTGATGTTTATGCATGTGTCTGCAGTCTCAGCCGGGACAGCAGCATGGCCTCAAGACAGAACACCGAGACGGAGCCTCAGGAGCCCCAGGATGCCGCAGCCACAGAAAACAACAAATCCAACTGCACCAACAATAAAACAGAGAATACCAGCGCGCCCAGCAGACAGGACAAAGCCATGGAACAGCAGCCCCTTAAACACATCTCGGCCTCATCAAGGATATCAACCTCGCCTCCAGAAATTCTGGACCCGGCTTTAGACCCCTCCTCGCTGCCACCACCAGATCCCAGCCTGGAGACAGGAAACTGCAGCACCCCTGGAGATGCTGTTCAGTCCAGCACGCCAGCATGCCTAAGAGACGGAAACTGGTTCCTGAAGCTGCTGCAGGCGGAAACGGGCCGCATGGAGGGCTGGTGTCAACAGATGGACAAGGAGACCAAAGACAACAATCTGTCAGAGGAGGGTGAGTGAGTTGCATGAGGTGACTTTGAAAATATTTACACATCAAGTCAGCAGCCTTAGGGCGCGGTCACACTGGTCATCTGTACCGTGCTGTACCCAAGCACGATTGCCCCCCCCCCCCCCCGCTACGCCATTCCCACGCTGGCCGGCACGGCCCGCGGTCACACTACACAGGACTATCCGTGCCTAAACACGATTACCTCTTGTACATAACGTCGTAATACAACACATGCTCGCTTTATGCTATTATGAAGCGTGCTCAGTTTACAAACAGGCGGACGAGAGAGAGACGCGCAGTCGAGTCCGCATCTGCACATCGGAGAACAACGCAGACAGCATGACAGCTACTTTACTGACTTTACAGCTTATTTTAAGCCATTTTAATCAGACACAGCCATAAATTAAAAAAAAAAAATAGACGCACAGCCGAGTCCACGCCCGCACATCGGAGAACAACTGCTACTTTGTGTCTTATATTGAGTCATGTTAGTCAGATACAGACATGAAACTCTGGTTTTCTCCATAATGAAGGCTGTCAGTGTTGTTTACCCGCGTGCTGGTGCTCGTGCATGAAGTGTACCGTGCCTGAAGCACACCTCTCCAAAGTGTGCCAAAGCCAAGGAAGTGTACCGTGCCTGAGCACGATACAGAGCGGTCACACCGGTCAAACGAACTGCACTTTAGCGTTGAAGCGTGCTTGATGGCACGGTACGAATGGCCAGTGTGACCGCGCCCTTATATCCACGTAAAACTAAAACATGATTCAAACAGATGTATTTACTAGTTTGTTCTTCAATAACTTTGAAATAAGCCATTGATCTGTCTCCTGTAAGCAAGAAGAAACGTTGCCCCATCCTTTTCTACACATGTGGAATAAAGTGTTGAAGGAAGGGTATAAATCTCACCCTGATTTTATGCTGATATTAGACTTTGAATTCCAAGAATAAATGTGGCTTAAGCTTAAATCATTTTCTCCAAATGACTTCATTTAGATTTAAAGTCTTAAGAGCCGACTGTTCTGTTCTTAAGAAATTAAGGATTATTTATTAGTCACCTTTTAGATACGATGTCCTCAAGTGCCTCAAATTGAAAGAATAGATTAAACACAGTATGAAATCATAAATAACAACTAAACGTTTCCTATCTAGTCAGGAACATGAGGAATGCTTGCGCCTCTGTCAGTAAGGTTCACAGACAGGTTATTGGGTCAGACCTCATCCATGTTGACTGCAGTAATGAGACACAGCAGGACACAGTCATTGCAACCATTGACTCACATTAACGCTGCTCATCAGAGTGGGAGGAAGCTTTGTTTTCTAGCTGTAACACAGCCACCGCAGAGTCGTTGCACTTCCTCATCTCCCAGAATCCCACTCAGGCTTTTAGGCTGATCTATCTCTGCAGTGTCTTAAATATGAATGAGCAAGGAAGCAGACCAGCTGTAGAGGCCTCATCCGATTATCCTCCCTCCTGCTCTCTGTGGGCCTGAATTATGAATTTCCATTTACATGCAAATAGACAGCCGAAAATAGCTGAATAAGAGTAATGTGTTACCTTCCCAAAGATTGAGTTACCTCTAAGCAAATAATTTACTGTCCCAGTATGTTAAACTGTAAATGTTAACATGAATATTTCATTATAAGGCAACACTAATAAACTCTACATTCATTCCGCCTTGATGCAGCTCCCCTAACACTTAAACATTCTATATCTTTAAAGCAGTAAAGGGTTCTTGTCTGGTCCTTAAAGAAGAAGCCTCTTTATGTCATTTTTGTTTTATGTATTTATTTACTTACTGGCAAGGGCCTGTTGGTGACTCGTCTTATTCTTCTCTTTTGTAGTGTTGGGAACGATCCGCAGTGCAGTAGGCAGCGCTCAGCTCCTCATAGCTCAGAAGTTTGAGCAGTTCAGAGGGCTCTGTAATGAGAACTTGGTGAGTGGCTCCTCTACGTCTTCCTTTATCTTTCCTCCTCTTACCGCTCCCCTCTGACTACATTTTCCTTTTAGTCCCTTACTGACCTTATTCCTCTTATCTTTTTTTTCTGCTTACCTAATTTGTCTACACACAGTGATGTAGAAAACTTCCCATTAAATTACATTTAGACTGGAGATAATCCTTTAAAGCACAAACGTTATATTCCTGAGGACTTATGAAGTCACATTTACAGAGTTAAATTTGCTCACTCGTCCTATTGTTTTTTCTGGACAATGTCCTCTGTGACAGGCCCCATACTATGAATTTAATATACTGTAAGAAGTTGATTGGTATCAGATTTAACTTCATTCATTTGCTGAATAGGCGGCTGCATGAGAGATGTACGAATGGATAAGATAAGATCAATTCTTTCTGATTCGACCGGAGTGATTCAACCCTCGCCTCTCTGTACTGTCTGATTGTTCTCTCACTAGGACATTAATGCCAACCCACGGCCAACGGCACAGGACCTGGCAGGGTTCTGGGATCTGCTGCAGCTCTCGATAGAAGACATCAGCATGAAGTTTGATGAGCTCTACCAGCTGAAAGCCAACAACTGGCAGCTTCCTGAGAAACCAGAGAAGAAGGTGATGACTGGTGCCTGACAGTTTAACAAACACTGAGATGTTTACTGCACTTGATTTGAGTAGTTTAGGGCTTTAACCAAAGAGTAATCTATGCCCAAAAAAAAGTAGCTGGATTCAGCTTCTCAAAGGTGAAATCCTGCTGATATTTCTCTGTCGATCTTTGTGAATTGTATGTTTTTGCTTTTAATCCTGTTAGTCCAAGTTTTGAATATCTCAGCGTTGACTCTGGAGGATTCAAAAAGTCGGCACATTTTTAGACAACAGGATGAATTGGGTTCTAGTTTCTGTCCTAACCTGAAGCATGTTGGAGTTTAAATTCAAATTCACCTTACAATCTCATAATGGCCTCTAAATGATAACATAGTGTAGCTGCTGGAGGTTATCTTCCTCGCTAATACCACTCTGTACCTTGTTTCTTTCCCTCCTTGACTCTATTACCTCAGGATGAAAACAAGCAGCTTCCATCATCTGTGCCAAAGAAGCCGTCTAAGCCCAAGCCCAAGCTGTCAGCGGGTAAGGACAGGAGCGTGGACTCGGCTGTGGACAAGCAGCGGCAAGAAGCCAGGAAACGGCTGATGGCGGCAAAGCGCGCGGCATCAGTACGACAGAACTCCGCCACGGAAAGCGCCGACAGCATCGAAATCTACGTCCCCGAGGCCCAGACCCGCCTCTGAGAGCGAACCAGCACCGGTCATCGAGCAGAATCCTGACTCACTTTAGACATTGATTGACACAAACACAAACAAATCTGAGACAAAAACACACAGATGTATTACGGATGCACAGAGGCCTGATCCCTCATGACAAGAGGCGATCACAGGGCACAGAAGAACAATCCAGAATAATGCAGATCATCACCCTGCTGCCATGGGACTGAAATAATCTTGACAGATGTTTAATACTATTGTTATTGTTATTGACATTATAATAATTATTATCTCCTAAAGTATATCAGGACTGTCTTAAATGTGCAAGTATCTTGGAATAAGGACACCCTGTACCTTGTGAGCTGACGAAATCTTGGTATCCCAGAAGTTTACTCTCTTAAAAAAAACTCCCTTCACTGCTGAGTCTACCGGCAAGTCGTGGCTGCCTGGTTTACGAGCTAAGCTACCATCCACACACACACTCAGGACACACACATGCAGGTGTACTCACTGTCCACAGCGTCTTCCTGTTCTCTATTTGTATTAGGCTGCCACTCGTCGGGTGTGGTGTGTACGCTTTACAGTGTAAGAGTTCTAAGGTGATGTTAATGTACTCAGAGGTTTTAAAATGCAGAGAACCAGAGGAAGGCAGTAGCATATATATTCTAAAATATCACACTATTACAATGTTCATTTTGTAAATGTTGTATACCAGATTATTTGTTAGAAAGAGGTCAGTGTTCAGTACCAAGGTAGTTTTTTATAGATCCAGTACATGTACTGTCATGTTATATTAGCACTTGATGCAATCATTCACTCCGCCTCTCTCTTCTTCTTCTTCTCTTATCTCACGAACGCACACTACACAGTCTGTGTTTGTGAATATTTCCCATTGTTTAAAGTCTTACACTTGTTTGTTTGTTTGTTTTTTGTGAAGGGATGCGAGGTAATGACTGCCCAGCCAGTGAGCTACAGAGGAATGTATGAAATGTTACACATTGACACAGCTCATGTCGACTTGATCACTGCACTTTTCCACTCACCTCAGATCAAGTCTGCCCACCCTTTTGTTTGCCTGATCATTCTGACTTTTCACTGCATCCTCAGTGTGATGTAGGGGACCAAGACATTCACCACTTGATACGGCATTCCCATTCAACCCCGACTATGTGTGCTAGGGACGGGTGGGGGTTTGCTTGCTTCTGGAAAGGAAATGGCATAGCAATAATAAAGGCGTTTTAGTGCAAGCAATGCAGTAGGTACCTAGTCTTAAATGATGAAATTCAACATTTCCAATAAGGATGAATGTTTTCTTTTATGGACTGACAAAAAATCTCAGGTTGAACACTCAAAACTAAACCACATAAAACAACAATGTAGGGATTATTTATTATATAACGACAAATGAATTGGCCAAATGCTAAGAGACATTGCAAGATATTTCAATTCCAGACCTACTCAATGTTCTAAAATAAGACAAACTCTTGGCAAGGTTAGGTGCTGTGAAGGCCAGGCTTAATATGACTGCTGAAATCAGCTGTTTTCTTCACTCCCCCTTCTAGCAGCTTGAACTCCCACCTCTGTTTGTTGAGAATGAATAACTGTGGTACATATTTTAATTTAAATTTCTAATGTCTTTCATCCGAAATGAGGTCGGCCTAACGCGTCTCGGCTTCTGTAATTATAAGAATTAATGGTGCTGGGATTTCATATTGTGCCAAGATGGCAATTTTCATCCACATTTCAGTGTCATTTGATACAAGCTTTATTTAAAGTGAATTTGTATTTAAGTTTTGTGTGCATTCTCAGCATTGTTTGTTTAGGCATCAGCTCACTCCAGATACATTATGCCCCGTCTCCATCTAAACTCATGACCCACTGATGATTGGACTGGTGCTTCTCAAACGGAAACACATGTTTTACCATGGGTACATGAGACAAACTGGGCATAGCTGATAATCATGCACAAATTTAGGTTCACTCATGTGTTTTGTTTCTTTATAAGAGCTGGCTCTCCCCCTACTGGTCAGTCCTTGCGTGACACTCCAGGCATCTTTTTCTGTTCCATTCTGAATCTTTGGTTGACGTCAAACAAGAAATGAAGTTGAACTGGGAATGCTGACACAACACGAAGTTGTTGATTTTCTTATTCTCTCTTATTTGTATTACATCAACAATGGACATGTGCATTTCATTGTCCAAAGAAATCATTAAACATCCCTTTGCTACATGTCCTGGTCATCATTCTTGCTCTCTTTTTATCGCACTCATCCATAAAACTAAAGTAATATTAGCCACTGAGTTAATATTACACACAAATAGAGCATAAGAAATAGATTAGGACTTCTATTGTTACTGTGTAATCTCTAAAAGCATGGCCTTCTCACTTATAAAAATATACAAAGATCCTTGCCAGTGAATTTTCAGTACTCCTTTAACTGGGTCTTGCAAATGATCTGAAAGTTTTTGTTTTGTAAGGCATTCAGGGTATGTACTGTGCGTAAGAGTTTATAACTGTGACAAAATGGTGAAAAGTTTTCTTTTTTTTTCATATCATTTGAGAGCTGGATCCCTTTATTTGCCCACACGCTGAACTTTAAGGAGAGCATGACCTGATCAGGGATCTTCAGACGGTTTGTTTACGAGTACTTCCTGAGTTTAAAAGGGCTAAAAAAAATTGAACAAGAAATGGACAAAGGACTCTGGAGGCAGATGATGCAGATGTGCTATTCAACCACCGTGTGGAAGAGGCAATTCTCTCTGATAATTCACAGAATTGCCTGAGACACTTGAACCTGTTTTTGTGAAATACGTTTTGGAGTAAAAATGGGGTCATTGTGTATGCTTGATGGACAGAAACCCAGAATCATACGCCCATTGTGACTTCAGTACCCTCATCTCTCTCTGGCTACATATCTACTGTCCTCACTGAGGTCCAGCTAGCAGACGAGCAAAAACTATGTAGTTCCAGAATAACTCCGACTGAAGAACATAACTCAACAAAATAAGCACATATCGTACAGGCAAAGGGTTGTTTAATGTTATGGTGTAATAGTTAGACACTGTGAGGCTAGTTTCTTTTAAGAGAATAAATTATTGTGATTGCAATGAGTTATGTGGCATATTTTCAGTCTGAAATAAGCTGTAGAATTAAAAAGGGAGTGCCACTCAATTGTGGAATGCATTTTTTTTGTGTGCTTTCGTACATGTTTCAAACGATTTACCTCAACCCTATTAGTTGTTCTTCTTGATATAGAGTCGGATAATAATGTCCTGAAACGCCATCTTTTTGAACCCCAAAATACACAGTTTAGTTCTCTTTTTTCTGCTCAGTCGTTTACACTGATTTATAACTTAAAATAAATCAGTGGTTAGAAAAAAACTTCCACTCATCCACTTTAGTATGTGGTCATATGAAAAATTATTATAAATGTTCTTCCAAGTTATAGCAGGAATCTGTAATAGATACTGGTATACGTACCGTGAGTGCTATAGATCTCTTTATTGCTGTTATTTTCAGGAGGCCTTGTTAGGCAGCGTCAGTATTATAGTGCATTAATATAATATAAAGCAGCCTCATGCTTTTGAGTTCTAATGGAAGTAGATTCCAACACTCCAGTCCCATATCAAGGTCTTCCCGGCCATAGATGTAAGTGAGATATATATATATATATATATATATATATATATATATATATATATATATATATATATATATATAGTTTTAATCCTGGTGGTTTTCATGAAATGTTCAACAACTACTTAACACAGGCCTAATGTGAGGAGGACCACAGACCTTTGGCTACAAGTGTAAACAAATCAACAGAAAAAAACCACACACACAAAAACAGATTTCAGTAAATAATCAGCAAACACCTGCTGTCAAATAAACAGTGCTTTATTTATTTAGTTCATATATTAGGTTCTATTTAGCCATGACCCTTTGCCATTGAGGCAATAGTGGTTTAATCAGTAGACCTATACTGTGACATGGGTACATGTGTGACACATAAGTGTTTAAAAGGAGGCATTAAACATGAAGCAGGTAACATTTACATTTAACTGTAAAAGCAGACCTTTCTATCGCACAATGTACGAGTAACTAATAGCTTAATAATAATAGTCCGGCACTATTTCACAAAGCAAATATGAACTCTCTAAATTGAGTGGCCTTCTCCTTTAATGAACGTGCGACATATGGGTAGGATGCTGTCATCTCCATACGTCACAGCACGGACCATGGCGCCTCCAGGAGGCTGCATAATGAAAAAAAAAAAAAAAGCATGAGCAGGTGCGTCAAGTCACCGGGAGAGAAATAAAACAAAGATGTTCCTTCAAAATAAAAGCACATCCTTGCTCTTATACCTCGTGCAACCAGTGAATGTAGATTTGAGTGTAATAAAAATCCAGTATGAATCCAGTCTAATGTATTACGAATATTGGACATTTTGCAGTAATAATTCTTCCGAATACTTATGTCAGGAAGGCATATATTCTGCTGCTGTTCTGATAGCCAAACATGTTTTTATAAAACAGATTTTTGTACTGAACACTTCTTCATCTAGGCCTACATGCCATAATGTTTTATGTGTGTTAATATATATATTTATAATGTTTTAACGCAGTTTAGATTCACACCCTTCTTGCCAACCAGGGTCAATATGAGAGTCCTAGTCAAAAGATAGGAGGGTATACGGGGCATGCTCTCCTGGGGATTTTTTCCATGTGACAGTAACGTATATGTGCTTGATTATAAAGACATTCTTAATAAAAACAATTATCAAAGATGCCAAATATTTTTTACATTAGGAGAAAATGACAGCTGCCACCTGAAAAACATCCTTTGAAGAATAATTTTCACTTCTGCCTCCTAAACAGAGGCTGAAATTGTCTGATCTTTTAAAGGTAGGTGTATAATAGACTATAGGTATAGGTTTAAAAAGGTTTCTAAACAGCGTTACCACAGACTGTATATTAGGCTATAGGCTACAGGAGTCTATGGGCGATACTAAAAAGACATAAAAAGCTGAATTTGTAGTTCTCAGACACAGATTGGTTTTTGTATGCCTACCTGCTGCTGACATTGTTGCTGACAAATGGATAGAAATATGTTGAGAATTCTGCCTGGACAGGAAATAAATATTCAGTCAATCAAGATACAAAAATAAAGAATAAAATGTCTTTATTGTCATTATACAATTGTACAACAAAATTATTAAATGGTCATGATCGACCAGCAGGATCGCTTTGCTTTTTTTCTATTTATTTTTTATCATCAATTTGTTTCTCTTAATATTCATGTGGGCCTACTCATTGATAAAGACAGACTTATTTTCTTACTCGCTGACCTTAATGCCAGAGGTATAAATCATGTCTTCAAATAAAGGCCTTTAGTTTATTTTGGAAAGCAAAACCGGAAGTTGTAGACAGGTTGTGAGCTGGCGGCAAACCACCGACGACGACGACGAGGTGGAGGAGCAGGAGGAGGGGCTAAAACACCAGAGAAGAAGAAGAAGGGGACTTTTGCAGCGGTGTAAGCCAACTACTTCAGCATCGTAACAAAGGAAAATAACGAATATTGTCTGCCACCTGAAGAAGTGTGGTGAGTTTATACATCCTCGTTATACCTTAACGTGTTGTTGTTGTTGTTGACGCTTTTCTCTGCAGAAGTTCAAGTTTGAACTTTGCAGGCCATGAGAGCAGCTACAGTGTTAACCTGCCAGGCATCTCTACTGTAACATCATGTTACAGGGTGACACAGTAAAACAACTTCTGCTCTGCTGCTGTTACATTTTTATGATATAATGGCTAGAAATCCTGTACAGTGTTTTTTTTTACAGAATAATACTTACGTCGAAACAGCTCATTGTAAAGGGCAGAGAGAGGTTACACTTGTAAATCTGAAATCTGAATCTGTGGCTTGAGGAACTATAACTAACAAACTTGCAACAGATAAAGGATGCAAACAACTCAGACGGATTCCCACAGGTTATTGCCCACAACAGTAAAATGAATAAACTCTGAGACAGCTAGTAAAAGGTCACCTCTCTCTTCACCCAGCATCCTTTGTGAATATTTGCTGGATGCATTATATTAACTACTGAAGATTTTTTGTGTTCAGGAAAAAGAAAAAAAAGAGCATGCCAGCTCAGGCCATGGGAAATAATGTGTGTTTTCTCATTAGTTTTGGACATTTGGATGAACAAGTTAACCACTTATGCTAAAATTAATAGTTAGTGGCAAATTAAAACATTTATACAAACAATTCTTCACATTTGTAAAAGCTGCCTCCAGCTAATATTTTTTGCCACAGTCTCATACTTTGGAAAAAAAAATAGTTAGGTTTACAATACACTCTTTTATTTCCCATCAGTGCCCTGTATGGATCTCTGTATTCACTGTTTGTCTGCAGCGTTAAGCGTGTATTAATGTATCATCACCTTTTACAGCTGATATCTCATGTGCCATTATTATTCTGATATGATACAGCGACGTCCTTTTTCTCTAAATAGGGGGAGATGCAGACCTCATCTTACAAGTGACCAGAGTTCAGATTCAGATCAGACCAGTCATGGCCGCTCGACAGCAAAAACCCGCGGCTGCTGCAGAGGGCTCGGCAGAGGCCAAGCGGACTGACCTCAGGGCCAACGAGAAGAAGTGCTGTGAGTGGCTTGTTTTTCCTTTTATGTGCCCAGACTTATAAACTGCTGTGTATCCTCTTTTTTTTTTTTTAACCCTGTACACCTTAACTCTGACATTATTTAAATGGAGTCACTATGTGCTGTGATTTGTTCTTTTCTTAACATCGGTTACTCTTTAGTGCATAAGTAAAGAAAGGTGAAAATGTAACTGCAGACACTAACTGTTCACTTCCTGCTTTGACGCACCTTCTGTCCCCGTCAGTATGGCATGCATACAGGTGCAGATGTATTTGTAGACGAGGATACTACAACAAATACTTAACCGGCTTAATTATTGTATAACAATCGAAGGTCAACATCAAGAATGTAAAAGTGTCACTGAGCATGGCCTAATTTTAATCCGCAGTCAGACTTCAAGGAGTCATTTATAAAGCACTTGTTGATAGGTCGTAAAAAGATTCAAAATGTGTCCCGCTGCACACAAAACTTTTCCTGTCTGCCGCTTCTTAAACCTTGCAGACATCTGTCCATAGAATCTCAAGGCAAGTCTGGTCCTGCCAGGTCTTTGTTTTGAAAGCTCTTTCATGGA